TAGCGTGTGAAGTCATTAAAGATAACTTATAATTAGTGATAGAGGGAATATCAGTATAAAATATGAAATATAATACACACACATCTAATTATTCTTGAAGCATAAATGATACATCCTTATTGACGATGATGCCATCTTTGGGAATTAATTAATTATATATATGTGTGTGTGTATTGAAAGCATGCATTCTCATCATACCGACATTTAATTATGAAGTGATGAGGGAGGGAAAACGAAATATAATCTAATTAAATAAGGTAAAGATCCATCAATCAAATTAAAGCTCTGCAAAGCATAAAAATAGAATTTAAAAAAAAACACAATATAAGCAAGTTGGTGTTTGATGAGTCTGAAGAATAAGAAAGACCACCTTAATGAAAAGGCACAAAATCTTATCACCTTTCTTGAGGAAGATATGAGTAAGTAAGGACGATGCCCTAAGATTACAATAATAAAAAACAAGATCTCATGATGGACACTGCTGGTGATGAAAAGAAATTTAAGATAATGATCTTTCTCTTCCTATGGTCGGTCGAGATCGCATGATCATGTCTCATTGGTGTTCACGATGGTCATCAGATTACGATCATCAGAGAGACCAAAATGTTCTTTTAATCGTTAAGCTTTCTAAATTTGAAAATCAAAAGTAGCTGTTTCTTTCGTTTAGGATAAGAAGATTACTAAAATTTGAGTGTCGCCTTCTTAACAGCATTAATTCAATAGGAAGGAACGCACGAAGCTTCATTAATCATATTCACTTGTTTGGTCATATACATATACTATCTCTGGTTCTTAATATAAGACCCTATTTTACTTTTATTTTGGTCCTAAATATAAGACCACAATCCATTTTGTCTCTCATATTTATACATTTTTTTCAAGATAGTCCTTCTAATAATTGTAGTCCTAACCAATATAATTGATTAGTAAGGATATTTTAAGAAAGACAATACCTATTTATTACAAATAACTAATTTAACTTCTTTTCTTAATCTCCTCAATTAGTCAACTGGGTCTTATAATTAGGACTGGAGGTAGTATATACATGTGTGTGTGTGTGGATGTAGGCTCCAACGAAGGGCATTAGAAAGGGAGAAACTTTGCATTAAAGGCATCATATGCATGTATGCATATGCATACATATAAAGGACTTCATGTATGCTAGCTTATTCAATTTTGGGTTTCTTTGAAAAATGGATTCGACCTTGAAAGCCTTTAAATTAAAAACAGTTTTGTAATTATGATTTATGGTATACAAAATAAATGTGTGAGAAAAATTTTATTTTGTTTTATGTAAAATGTGTTTATAATAAGTAGCTCCAAACAAGCACAAAGACCAATGAAATAATATAGTACATTTAAATTTAGTGCAAATGTAAGTTGTGATGACTAGTTTTTTTGAACTAGTTTTATCGGATCAAAATTACAACCACTCCATGTATCTTTCATATTAAGTCATTTCAAATTTCATCGAACACTAATTCAGAAAGTAAAATAGACTTTTATTTTATTTTATTTACTATGATATAATATAGGGTTAAGGTGCATTCAAAATTTTAAATTTATTTTTTTTATGTACATCTAATACTTCGAAGTATCTTGTAGTGCATCTAATACCTTGAAGTTTTTTTTTTGTTTCCTTAGTACTAAATGCACCAAAAAATATATTTGAGTGTTGGATGCATCTAAAAAAGTACTTTGAGGGACTTGATATATCAAAAAATACTTCACAGTATTAGACGTATCAAAAAAAATATTTTAGAGTACTAGATGTACCACAAAATATATTAAGATACTGGTGCACATGAGAAAATAGTTGGAGATACTAAATGTAACTTAACTTTATACTACATCTGGTTCTTAATATAAACACTTGTTTAGCTTTTATTTTAGTTTTAAATATAAGACTCTAATTCACTTTGTCTCTCATATTTATTTATTTTTTTAATATAGTTCTCGTAATAATTGTAGTGCTAGCCAATATACTTAATTAGCAATAATATTTTAAAAAATAATATTTATTTATTATAAATAATTAATTTAATTATTTTTTAATTTATTTAAATTAGTTGCCTAACTTTCCACGAATTAATAGATGATAGAAGTTAGAACATCTTGTATGAAGTGAAGGAATTGAGTGGTGGGTGGGTCTCCCCTTCTCTGACACAAAATCATGTGGGTCCCCTGTTTGCGACAAAAACAATTGACGCACGAGGGAATCCAAATCATCACTAGGCTCTAGTCAGTCTTCTATCCCCCACTCCGCGCGATTTTTTGCCCTTTTCCCCCCAATATCATCGTACATTTTATAATATTTTTTTAAATATTGATTAAAAAAACTCCCAGTTAAAAAGTTAATTGGATAAAAGTGCTTGGAAAATATAGATTGCACACAGTTAAAAAAAATTGCACTTGAGCCATTACAAAATTTCAAATATTTTGCACAAATACTTTTCTATTTAAGAATTTTTTTATCAATTTTTCATTTCTTTGTTTTTTTTTGCTGCTAAAAATCCCTATAAAAAATAGTTTGTGTGGCATGTGTTGTAAAGAATTTAAAAAGTTTAGATTATAAATAAATATTAAATACATCAATGTTGGGACCCATACATTATACTGAATCTTATATATAAAATCATATTGGTAATAATAAGCATGGTTTTATATAAATTTATTACTAGAGCATACACATACACACACATATACACAGTAATAAAAAGGAGAGAAGAATTGTTTTAATTTTTTTAATATGATATGAGTGTTATATATTTTCAACCATTTTAAATTTTGTGCAAACTTTATATTAAGTATGTTTTAAAATATGGCTCTCCTCATATATCTGAATATCATGCATGCACTTACTGGTATGTATGTACATATGGATATAATAAGTTTGTATGGTGGCCAATATGTGTGTGTGTCTATATATATATATATATATATATAGGGATAATTAATCCGCAAATCCTTATAGTTTCAATGAATTTTGAATTAGGCCCTTATAGTTTTTTTTCTTTTTATCAGGTCCTTATACTTTCACCTGTTTTTAATTAGGTCCTTGTATTTATTTTTCTTTTTATCAAGTCCTTATAAGTTCACCTTATTTTTAATTAAGTTCTTGAATTTTTTATTCTTTATTTTATAAATTCTAATAGTACTATTATATAAACATAAAATAGTATATATTATTTAATATTAGTTTATAAACAATAATATTCTAAAGATAATGAATTATTATAATGATTTTAATTTTTTCAGCAAAAAAATTAATTGTTCTAAAAAATTTTCCTGAATTAATTACTTTTATTACTTTTTTATTACATAATTATTAATTTAATTTAATTATTAATATTTTATATTTCAGTATTAATCTATTTAATTAAGCTTATATTTAATTAATAAATAAAAATTAAAACTACATGGACCTGATTAAAAATTTAGTGAAATTATAAGGACTTAATTAAAAGAAAAATAAATACAAGAACCTAATTAAAAAAAGGTAAAAGTATAAGGACCTAATAAAAAGAAAAAAAACTATAGGGACCTGATTCAAAATTCGTTGAAACTATAAGGACTTGCGGATTAATTAACCCATATATATATATATATATATGATTCGAGCAATTAAGGACAAATGCAAAATGTTAGCGAAGGAAGGCGGGGAAGGAAATAATGCATGAATTGAAAATTACAATATTTTCCACAAAATGGAAAGATGAGAAATTGGCTGTGGAGAGAGAGAGGGATATGGTAGGGTGAGATGGGGCTCAAAAGCAAGTGAGAGATCGCATCATGGTGATGTAACCAACGGCAAAGGACATGACACGTGGCCGACAAAGGGGGACCGAGGGCCTACCGAAGGCTCTTTAGTGGGGGGAAACATAATGAGGGGCGCACACAGGATCCTTCCACCTGATAGGTCCCGCACAACACTATAAAAAGCCTTTAATTTCATTCAATTAGGAAGCCAACTTGCATTGCATGCCTTCTTTATTTTGTTTTCAAATTCAATCATAGGCCACCAATTTTCAAGCTCTAATGGGAAAGCAAACACGTTTATTCTTTTCATTCTATTTTTAAGATTTATTAATTCCTTCTAATTTCACCTATGTTCTAGATGCATTTATTTCTTGCAGCCTCAATACTTTTAAATGGTTTTAGAAGATATTTTTTTGGTATTGATCATTGTTTTCAAGGACTTTTATCATGAATAATGAATTACAATATTTATAAATTTATTATACATAGAAAGTTTGAACTCTTATCTGAAAGAATTGAATCCCTCCCTAACCACTATTAGTATATATATAGACAATACTCTCTCTTACTCTTAATATAAGGGTTAATTGAATGGTTAGATTCGATCATAAATATAAGACTTTATTGTACTTTACGTATCATATTTATCATTTTTTCGTGAACTATTTTTTTGTTTGATACAATTAACCACACACACGTACACAAACATGTCAACATTAGACTTGAATTGGGACCTCATTAGGGTATGGCAAGTGACATTGCTGGCAAAACAACTAGGCATTGACCAAACTGTTTTACTTAATTAATAAATTGATATATAATATAATGTTATGGGTGTTTTATGAATTTTATATTACATTTGTTGTTGAATTGCGTTATCAACTTAAATTACTCAAACAGCTCTTATATATTAAAGAGTAAAGAAGATAAAGGGTATTAATTATTATTTGCAATTATTTAAAATATTGTTGCTTTGGTTTATGTGTCCATATTTGGACCTCTGCTTGATTAAGGGACAAGATATCGCGTTTGACAATGTATGAGATTTACGCCAGCTTAACCCTTGTATGACACTGAAGAAACGCAATAATACACTTTAATCAAAGCTTGCTTTTTTTTAGTTCCTCTCTTTTCTTTTCCATTCTATCTCATCATCTATTCAATGCGTTTATCATAGATTGCTTTACTACGTTGACTAATCCCATAGAACCACTGCTTCTCTCTCTGCCTTCCTCCTTCCCTCCCTCTCTCTCCTCGTCCTTCCCTTCTCTTCTGTGTCCCCTTGCACTCTTGCGTAGGAGACATTGTCATTTTTTCCTGTAGTTTGTGGTTTGTGTCTCACTTGCTGTTTCCAACACAAACCCATGCACAACATACCTAGGTAGCCACTCTAGGCAGACCCCATTCCTCTCTCTCTCTCTCTAATCTCTCTAATTCTCTGAGGATTTCTTGCATGAATCTGCTAAAGTACTTGTTTTCCAGCTTCTCATGAGCACAAACATCTATCCAAATATATGCTCGATTCGCTTCACTCCGCAAATTGGTGCGTCTGCTTTATCCACTTTCTTCAATTGTTGTGCAGTTATTTAATCCTTCATAGTTATGCAGCTTTTTCAACTGTGAATGCTTCCCTACTTTCCCAAGATTCAAGCAGCATCAGCTCCGTGTTAACAGGTAAGTTATCCTCTCTTCCTCTCTAGCTCTTTTGATCATAGGTTTTCAGTCGTCACCCTTGCGTGTTTGATGAAAAGCCTAATCCAGTCGTTACTAGCTTGTTTAAAGCATCCTGATTGACTTTCCATTCCAAACTAAAGCATAAGCTGCTTTTTACATCCTGTTATTATATAAAAATGGGGGCACTAGTGTCAGAGGATTAAAAAATAAATAAATGCGTGAAAAAGGAACACATACAATGTAGGTTCTGTTTAAAAAATTCCAAAAGTATAGGGACAAAAAGAAAATGATGGCACCTTCTTGCGGGGATGGGTAACAGATGAACTTTATCAATTTCAGAAGAGAATACCCACATAACTGGCTAAATAGTGTTAATAACTGATACACACTGTTGATTCTGTGTAGAGCAAAGCAATATGTATGCTGACTTTAACGGTTCACTTTCTGAGTTTTCATGATGATCATAAAATTGGGATCTATGAGAGTTGCCTCAGAAAAAAAGTTGGCTTGCGATGAGCATCCCTGATACAGTCTTATTATGAAGAAAAATAAAAGGAAAAGAGAAACGAAGAGCTTTTCTTATCTTCCTTCTGATGGAAAAAAATGGATGAATTTCACTTTACCAACATGTGTCTATGAAAGCACAGACCACACTCTAATGTCAGATCTCAACAAATGAATGGAGGCAAAAGCCTATATTTTTGCTGCTTATCATATCCTCAAAGAAGGATTCTGGATTGATTTCTATGCTTCTTTTTATCAATTTGTTTCAAAATCCGAAGCAAATCTTAGATAAAACGTGCCTAACAGCTAAAAGAATGCTTTTTGTGGAATTAATGCTGAGTTCTTTCAGCAATCTGAGGATAAAAACTGGGAAAGGAAAAAAAAGGGAGAAAGAGAGAAAAAGAAGAAAAAGTTGGCTTCCACCTTTCTGGATTGCCCTATAGTTGATGGAGTGCAGCATAATTGAGAAGACAGTACTTCTGCAATATTGGACCCCTTAGGGTCAATAATTAATTTCAATTAGAAATGTAACATTAGTTTATACATTGACGTTCTTGGAGACACAATGAAAGTGACTTCACCGAAAAAAGACTCATAATGTTTTCTTTCATATATAGGAAGCTTTTGGGTGCAAAAACTAGTTATTTTACTTGCTGCATCACTTTCTCTTGGATTCCTCGTATCGTTTTCTAAAGAAAGCCACATATTTTCTCTTACATGGAATTGTAAGCATCTCCTCAGAAGATTGCGGTGTGTATTAGACTATTGGCATGCATATGCTTTGGATTTATACACCCATTTTGATTCAAGAGTGAGCCACTATAAAAGTTGTAGTTATTTTTCTTTGTCTCATATGTTAGTTCATTCTTTACTAGCCATTCCTTTCCCATGAACCATCAGGTAGTATGGATAATACAATATGGACATTATCGTACGACAAAATATGAAGTATTTGGGTAGTGTCACGTCATATTTGATACAAGCATCAAAAACAAAGGTGGTCGGTTTTTTAAGAGTTGGTGTTTCCTATACTGTAATGTAAATCATTTCTATCGGTGATCCTTTGCTCTGGAGCTTCTTCACAGTCTTCTCTGTTTTTTGGGGAGGAGGAAACGGGGATGAGTATTTCTCTACCCAAAATATTAAAAGAGAAAAATTGCAGCATACCCCAAAAAAAAAAAAAAAAACCATAGTGAAGATTAATTAAAAAAAACTGTCGGCACAGCTGTGAATGCAGGGTTAGATTTATGTTAGAAGCCTAATTAATTGTGGGCACCCATCAAAATCAAAATATGTAACCGAAGTAGAATATGCAATAATTAAGAGTGGATCATCTTAACTTTTGCCTTTCTCCATTATTAGTTTCTTTATTTTATATTTTTTATATTTTCCTTGTCTCTTCGAATTTAAGGAACAACAATATTAGATAAGTTGAATTGTGGCGATGTAAGTTCATTTTCTTCAGTTCTAGAATTCTTCTGTTCTTCTTCAGTTTCTTGTTTCACATGTCAGGAATTTGCACAGGAGGCAAAAAGATCTGAAGCCCAATGTAAGGCAGTGAGTTTATGCCGCACTTACTTAATTTTAACTATTAAGCCTTGAATTTTGAAGTAACTTTCAAAGATACGGTTCAGAATAATTTGCTTCATGGTTTCTAGTCAAAGTCTCTAACGCAGTTTGTTGTTCTCCACCATCACAGATTTGATTTTTGTTTTCACCCTTGCTCTTCAATTTGCAGGCTAGGACATTATTTATGTAAATTCAATGGATTACAGGGTTCTGTGCAGAGAAAAAAGAAGATGAAAGGGCCATTTAAGTAAGGCCTTACAGATAGTTCGTTGTTTCTCCATTCTCTTTCCCTCTTCCACTTCGGAAGTCTGCTCTATTCTTCCTGCTCTTCAGATGAACAGTTCTGCTTTCAATTTCTTTACTTTTTCTTGAGAAACTTGTTCGGGGTTTCTACTTCAGACACTTCTTCTGTAGTTTCCTTCCATGCCGGTACTTGATCAACGAACAAGATGTACGAAATTCTGATTTGCTCTCATGCTTTGAAGTAGAGGCCTTTATTTGACCATTGGTTTATATAGATCAGACCAAAGAACGATGAAGTTTATGAGACTTGGTACAAGGCCAGACACCTTCTACACTGAACAAGCCACCAGGTATATATATAATAAACCATCTTCTGAAAAACTGTCAAAAAAGCACATGCTTTTAACAGTGTTTTCACAATGCAGGACTCTGATTTCAGACGTACCTTCAGACCTTGCAGTACAAGTAAATGATATCACTTATTTTCTACACAAGGTACAAATATAGAGTTAGACTATTAGAATGAGGAAGGGAATGTGAAAAAGAAAGCAAGGTTTAGTTTTTAGTTCATCTTTAATTCTTCTTTTGTGAGCTGCAGTTTTCACTTCTTCCAAAATGTGGCCTCCTACAAAGGCTTTGCTGTAATAGTTCTAGTGATTCTGAGGGTGTGTCACTAGAGCTTCATGATATTCCTGGAGGGGAAGATGCTTTTGAGCTATGTGCTAAGTATTGCTATGGAATTTCAATCAATATCAGTGCTTTTAACTTCGTTCCTGCATTTTGTGCTGCTAAGTTCCTGCAAATGAGTGAGTCAGTTGAGAAGGGAAACTTGGGGGGAAAACTCGAGGCTTTCTTCGACTCCTGCATTCTTGAAGGCTGGAAGGACTCCATCGTGACACTTCAGGCCACTTCCAAGTTACCAGAATGGGCTGAGAATCTGGGTGTCGTCAGAAAATGCATAGATTCAATTATTGAGAAAGTTCTCACGCCCCCACCACAGGTAAACACAAAATTTCTCCGCCATTATTACTTCTCGGGACTAAATGAGAAAGTTCTCACGCCCCCACCACAGGTAGACACAAAATTTCTCCGCCATTATTACTTCTCGGGACTAATTGAGAAAGTTCTCTCACCTCCGTGAGAAGGTCTAGCTCAGTTGGTATAACAGATAAGAGATTCATGCTGGGTTCTTTTTTAGAAAAAGCCTTTCACTGATATCATATTGTCAAGGAGAATTATAGATTTTATGTTACATCATGCCTTCAAGAATAATAGAAAAACTTCTCAAACTTATTTTTCTCATAATTTTTTCTTGAAAAATGATGGTCTATTGCAGGTCAGATGGTCCTTCACTTACACAAGGCCTGGTTATGCCAAGAAACAGCACCATTCTGTCCCAAAAGATTGGTGGACTGAGGATGTTTCTGACCTCGACATAGACCTTTTCCGATGTATAATCATGGCTCTAAGGGCCACTTATCTTCTCCTACCACAGCTCATAGGAGAAGCTCTTCATGTCTACGCTTGCCGGTGGCTACCAGGAATCATGAAGCCCAGAACATCAAGCAGTTCAGGTTCTCAAACAGAAGAATCCAAGGCAAAAAACAGGAAAATTCTCGAAACTATTGTGACCATGATTCCTGCAGATAAAGGGGCAGTTTCAGTTGGTTTTTTGCTTAGACTTCTTCAGATTTCGGATCATTTTGGGGTCTCCCATGTCACTAAGACAGAACTGATTAGAAGAGCAAGCCTGCAATTTGATGAAGCAACTGTGAATGACTTGCCTTGTGCTTCAGCATCATCAATGGAGTTGGTTTTAGCAGTGTTGGAAAGTTACTTGAAGCTTTGGAAAAGAATGTCTCCTAATCCTGCAGATAACAGCCACTTCTTAAGATCAATTGTACATGTTGGGAAGCTCATTGATTCATATCTTCAAGTGGTTGCAAGGGATGATAATTTGCCAGTATCAAAATTTGTTGCTCTTGCTGAAGCTCTTCCAGATATCGCAAGGTTACAGCATGATGATCTCTACCAAGCAATAAACATCTATCTTAAGGTAAATTTTTTAGACTAATTTCATTTTAATCGTCTATAAAGAGGACTTGAATATCAAAAGAACCCCTTGAAAAATTAATTCAAGTGGAATTAAAAAACTATAAAGCTTTTGAGAACAAAAGTTGGACAGAATATCTTAATGTTGGAGTTACCTTTGTAGGATTATAATAGAACTTCAGTGGGCACTTTAAATTTAAACTTTCTGGACTTTTAAGAACCCCTTGCTTAGATTCAGGGCTAATGCTCATGAAACTGAAAGCATATCAGCACATTTTGGGGACCTTTGATTCCCTGTTTGGCCCCATTGCGATTTTTGAGTTGCTTTTATTTTTATTTACATACAGAAAAAAAGTACAAACACTTGGATAAGCTTTAATTTCTTTTCTTTGACCAAAAAGGGCAAGTTTTTACCCTCACTTAATTGAATCCATTCCTCTTACCAAAATGGTTTAAACAGGGGCTCGAATACAAAGAATCAAATTATGAATTGTGGAATGTATTTTCTGGTTCGCATAAATTTTATTAAAGTTATTTATTTAGGAATATCTATATAAATTATGAGATACATTCAACAGTTAGAGAGCTCAAACTTTCTATTTCCCTTCCAACAATTACTTCTCAGCACACTGAACAATACCAACAAATGATAGAGGCATAGAGCTACTAATGAAACCAAACAAACTGAATTCTCAGAACACATTGGTGATACTGTAGTAAATTTGGTTTGTTTAGATAACACTATTCTTTATCCCTTTTTTTTTTAATATTTACGTGTCATTCATCAAACAATAATGTTCAAAATTATTTTTATCTCGCGTCATAATTTTTTTGAAGATAAAAATACTAAATTATGTATATAATATTTAGGCTACTCAATTTAATTCTAGATGTTTGAGATATGTCATTTTTCTTTCCATTTCTCTTTTAAGTTAAGAGTGGGTTCGTATGGAGCAACTTTTCAGTAGAAGAAGACTATCATTTGCCCACTTTATTTTGAAAAAGAGATTAACTATTTGCTCTTGGCCGAGGAGTACGCTCTTTGTTCATGTTAACCACATTTTATGAACTGTGAATTGTACGGTTATCTGTAACTTGATATGTGGATTGGCGATGATTAGCTAAACATAGGACCTAGGAACGGAGCTTTTGACAATTTTCAAGGTTGCATTTATGAACACAGGCGCATGCTGAGCTGGGCAAGGCAGACAAGAAGCGGTTATGTCGGATTCTGGACTGTGAAAAGCTGTCAGCAGAAGCTCGGGCACACGCAGTGAAAAATGAGCTTCTTCCATTAAGAACTGTTGTTCAGCTTCTCTACTTTGAGCAAGAGAAAAAATCCTCTCCTAGCCATCAGCACCACCACCACCAACTTCATAATAATCATGCTGCCACTAGCAGTCACAGTAACAGTACTGCTACTTATAAGGTTTTGAAAAGTCCCCATGAGCTTTCTGGATCAGAAGCCAAGCACAGACCCAGAAGTTCCAATATTGTTGCTGAAGGTAATAAAGACAGATTGGCCTTGGAATTTGAAAGGAAGATGATTGTGAGAGGAGGGGAGGTTGAGGAGGTTGGATCTGATATGGGAAGAGGATTCTGCAGGTTGGGTTTGGATCCTAGGAAGATCATGAGAAGGGCAAGAAGTGACTCTGATTATGCCAATAAAAAAGGTAGATAGAGAGTTTAATTAATGGGGTTTACTTATAGTTGATGATGATAAGTAAGGTATTCAAGCAGGCTTTGTTTTTAAGATTATTAATTAGACCAACATGATGTCAAGAAAACAGGTCCAGATTTTTTCAAACTTCAGCATAAATAAATCTTCATCGGGTATCTAATCTAGATGGTTGATTTTTTAAAACGAAACATGTGTAAGGATTTTTTTGTTGTTGGAATTACTGTAAAATTTTTGCAGAGTTTAAATGTGAATGACATGAAACAGTTCTGCTGTCTTTTTTCTTGTTTCCATTCTGACTAGTTGAATTTTGTATCATGATGCTGTTATGAACAAAAAACACATATTTTTGGTAAAGAAATATATATATATATATATATATATCTAAATATATGATATATGTTTTTATGGGTTGCTAATGTGGTATCCAGTAACGATGATTTATCTGTAAGAATTATTATGAAATCCTAAAAAAGTAATGTGATTATAAAAAAGTTTCAATAACAAGTAGCATGAATTGTTGTCATTTTTACACTAAAATTTGTTATTATCTGTTATTCAATTATTATGAAACTTTTTAGTACTTATATTTTTTTGGGACATTAGAAATTCTCCCATTTATCCTCCCTCCATGCCAGCATTTTCCCCGTGTGAGCAGTTAGTTAACCCCATGATGTCATTTCACCAACCCAAAAATTGTTTTTCTTGGGTGATAACATATTAGAAACTATACTTCATTGACATATTAGATAATAAAAGATAAATTTTACCACCCCCAACATATTAGATTAGTCAGTGCTTCGTTTCCATATTGATTTTCGTTAAAATCCCGTTTTAACAATAATAATATAAGGGTTATTTTGTTTCTACAAAAATCATGTTGGCAGCTAATACCAAACATAAAATATATGAGGATGGCTTTGAAGCTTTAAAATCATAAAAACAAATTGAAAAATGATGCAAATTAGAAGGATTAATTGATTAATTTTCTCCTAATATTTTTAGGACATGGGAAAAAGATCAAATGATATGGTAGATAGGGCTCACTTTATCAGATTTTTCTTCTTTTAAAAAAAATTGATGATAAATTTAAAGGAATCATATGTAAGATCTTTTTTTCTAATTAGATTGGAATAGGTATATAAGTTCAAATATTTCAGTTCTCTCTCTGAAATAATAAGGTGGATGAACAGATAATAAAATAAAAATAATTGACTTTGTAGATAAGTAACTTAGATAATAATATATTCAATTAATAATAGAAATTTGGGGTGGGTTAATATTAATTGTTAGGATTGTGATATTTCTTTTATATCTATTTATAAGGATTATATTCATCCACTCACACAAAAATCAATAACAACAACTCAAAACTCATACTAAAAGAGTTTATTTTAAGGAAGAATTAGTGAGTAATGTGGCAATATAATATGTAGAAGAATACCAAAAATTCTTTTAGATCCATACCAATTAAATTAATTTAACATGATGGGTTTATTTGGTTATCAAATTTCTTGAGAGACTAAGAAGACACATCATCCACATTGATCTTACCTCTCCCTTGACTACTTTATAATTGGCTTAATGGCGATTAAAAAAAAAAGCCCTGCTTCTTTGAATAGTTGGAAGAAGCCAAGTTTTTATGAATTCACACCTTAAAAATGCTAACTGCCAACATGTCATAAATATAATTAGCCTGGAGTGAGGCTTGTATTATGTTAATAGCATCAAAATCAAATAAAAAGCCGATATTAAACCACATTATTTGATGTATTGTTTTATCTTTTGATTTGAGAAAAAAATCCAACAAAAAATATAGGGAAAGAATTTGAATAGGTTTGTATTTTTTGAAAATATTTTTTATTAGAAATGAACGTAGATTGGTAAATTTACTAAAGAAACATAATATATATAAATTTAATAAGATATATATATAAATACACACTCTTAAGTAAATAAAAAAGAAGTTGTGAATAAGAAATTTAAATTTTTTAATTAATTATTAAAAAATTATTTTTAATTCTTTAGGGTTAATTTGTGAAAAAAAATCACAAATAAAAGCTTGAAATTATTAAATTTTAAATAAAAAATTTCTACAAAAATGTGTTGTTATATTCTTCGTCAAAACCTATTAAATTATTGTCACCAAATCTAATTTGGGATTTATTAATTTCAAGTTTTTTTTGGGATTCTCCCTAATTTGATTTTTATTTTTTTAGAATTGGTTTACAAAATATTTTTAAAAATAATAATTAGGAACAAAAAGAGAAAACTTAGGACTTAGGTGCTGTTTTCCCATCAAAATTTGACTAATATTGTTTTATTCATACATCACCTCCCGTAATCAACTTTATACTCATATTGTTAAACCAAAATCAAGCAAGTCCATAGGATTCGTTTTCTAATCTACAAGGAAGTAATCTCTCTTTAAACTATTAGTTGTTGGGTTTATTCACTTGAAAGGACCTTCTTATGTGATGTGTTTTCTTTGAAGAGCTCCTAATTTTCATAATAGCTTGCCACTTATTCAATCAAAATAGTTAACTTTGGCTACCTTTATCCATCCCACGGTTAGACTCATTCCGCTTCTATGTGACTCTTCATCCATTTATTCAATCAAACTATGGGCGAACCTTTTTTTTTTTTTTTAATTCCAAACAAGGGCTCACTCTACTTCTTTGTAATTGTTCGTGTCCTTTATTCTGTTTTTAACACTAGTTGAGTCAAATTTGAGCATTATGGAACCTGATTAGAAGCAGTTTTTCAAAGACATTTTCTGCATTCACACATACTTAAACTCAAGATTTCGTGCTTAAATGGCCAAAATTCCTTCTATTAGAATTAACACCCATTGATATCGCTACTTCTATTTTGATGTGCCTTTTAGTTTTCTTAGGGTTGGACATTCTTCGATTAAGGAAACACCTAATCACGAGTAGCATGGCAAGATAACAATGACATAAAAATTTAAATATTTTGTTCCCAAATATATCAACAAATCAGAGTGGCGCAGCGGAAGCGTGGTGGGCCCATAACCCACAGGTCCCAGGATCGAAACCTGGCTCTGATAAAGAGTAGCTTCCAATGCATTATTTTTTCCCCCCCAAAAGATGCCTCTTAATGTCTTTCCTTTGTGTGGTTGGAAGCAGTATGTAGGGACAGTGACTGCCGGAGGGAATATCAGCTGGCCTTCACCGTGGGGTCAACTAAACCAAAGGATGGTTCATTTACAAAATTGCCACACATTCCTATCAACTAGACTGAACCATATGAAATTGTAACTGAGAATGCGGTTTAATGTTTGAAGTATGAACCATGTGAGGCATAAAAGCAAACTTGATGCGTGTACGGAAGCAATTTCTGGAGTATGAACCATATTAAAGGGAATTTTCTTAAGATGGATAGGTTTCAGTGAATGGAAATGGAAAATGGAAAAGAATATTTTAGAAAAATCAATGGATAGCTTTCAGTGAATGGAAAAGAATATTTTAGGAAAATAAATACATATTTTAATAAATAACTAACTAAATTAAATTTCTTAATTTTTGTAAATTAATTATAGAGCATATTTCCCTTTATGAAAGTTCTGTTTGGAAATTATGCACCAAAAATCTCAATTAGAAATCACATCAATTTATGAAACTCTTTTTTTTTATTGGCATATAAAATCGCTTGAATAATGAGAAACAATGTTAGAATTTATTGTTTTTGATCATATAAGTATGAAAACCAAAAATAAAACCTAGGTCAGTTAATCAGAATTTTCTTGTTTAGAGCATTATTATAATTCAAGTATTACATTCTCTTGTTGGCCAAAAAAAAAAAAGTATTACAATCTCTTACTATTAATATAAGATTTACTTAAAGTAGACTAAAAAAGTAATTAAATTAGTTATTTATCAAAAATATATGTTAATTTTTCTAAAATACCCTATTTAATATGATCAGTTTGGATAAGTAAAGGGACAAAATATATTGCGGTCTTATATTTAGATCAAATTTAACTTCTTATTAGTTCTTATATTAATTAGATAAAGTAATACTCCTCCGGTCCTTAATGTAGGACCCAATCATTGAGTTAGTTTTAGTCCTAAATATAAGACCCATTCCTCATATTTATCAATTTTATCTAAATTACCTCTATGGATACTCCTTCAACCATAATTAAGTATAAGAAAGAGGAGGGGTATTAAGAAAAATGGCTATGGTATTTTAGAAAAAATGTGTCACTTTTCTTATAATTAACTAACTTGCTTAACTTCCTTAATCTAATCAAATTAGTTAAATAGTTCTTATATTAAGGATTGGAGGAGTATTATTTTTGGTTCGCTTCGAAGATTTGTTGTCAGATGACCCAGTTCCAATTTTTAAAATTTTTTTTCTTGGATTTTGAATATATTTTCTACTCTCTTTAGTAGTCAATTTTGTTTAGTAAAAGTTTCCATGAAGTGCGAAGGGCTGAAATTTTCAAAGAGAATGACTTTTTACAAGAATGATGTGATCAACATCATTTGATAATCATGCACTTGGTTTCATTCGCACCAAACATAAGAACCATTCATTATTCCCACTCCAGCTAAATTCTCTTCCTTTTCCTAATTCATTTTCATTTTAATTCCTATTTTCTCTCTAACACATGTAATATTATTCCCATTCCTATTTATAGATTTCATATTTTCCACCAATAATCTTATTGATAACGAATCCAATAATTAATTGACACAAAGGTGCTACTTTCGATTTTAATACCTAAAGTAATTTGTGAATATTAAGAAAATTAGTTAAATTAATTATTTAAAATAAATAAATGAATATTTCTTAACATGTGTAACTATCGTAGAAATTAATTATGGGCAAAATTGATAAATGTTAGAGACAAAGTTGATTGAGGTTTTATATTTAGGATCAAATTGAATATTCAAATAACTTTTATATTGAGAACTGATTGTAGTATACATAAAAGATAGGTAACTAATTTAAAAATATTAAAAAAATTTGTTTAATAAGTTATCTGTAATAAGTATGTGTTGATTTTCTCAAAATATTCTTTTTAATCATATATATTAAAACCACTTTTTTATTGGAATCTCTTACAATCAATTCAAATGCTTTAAGAGAAAAATTATAAATTTAGAAGATACTATGAATTAAAATTTTATATTTAAAATCAAATATTATTTCCAATTAGCTCTTATAGTAAGACGGGGACACGGACATGTCAATTTAAATAGAGTTCCATACTCTACATTATACGTTATATCTAAATTTTTGACATTTTGCATTTGTTCGATTAGATAACAAATTCATGGATTGTAAGAGGTTAATTCATTGGTTAAATAAAAAACGTTAACCACTCCCATATAGTCATTCAAGGGCTTTATTATAATCAAGTTTTGGAACAGTTCCATACATTTTTATTTTAAAATATATTTGGACATGGCACTCTATCTAATATGTTACTCCTGCCGCTCTTAATGTAGGGCTTAATTATTAGATTGATTTTAGTCTTAAATATAATATTTATTTCTCATATTTATTAATTTTTTTTTAAATTATCCGTATTGATACTTCCTCAACCATAATCAAGTAAGAGAGGGAATAGAAATATTAAGAAAGATAATTATGCTGTTTTAGAAAAAACATGTCATATTCCTCCAGTCCTAAATGTAACACCCTTATAGACACTATAAAGGTCTTACATTTAGGACTGAAAGAATATTTCTTATAATTAACTAACTTATCTAATTTTTTTAATATAATAAACTTAGTTAAACAAATTGTACATTAAAAATCGGAGAAGTATTATTTTTCACTTGAAGAGGGTAGGTACTTATTTTGAGGTTACTGAAGAAAAAAAGAAAAAGAAAAAACAAGAATCCGTGCTAATCAAGTAATAAGGTTATTGACTCTAAATAACAGCTTAATAAGTAAAATAGCACCAGGCAAAGAAAGAAATAATTATACGATCTATCTGCTTCGATTTTTAATTATTTAAACAATAATTTCCACAAAGTCAACATTGTAATCTGTTAGTACTTGATCTAAATATAAGAGCTAGTAAATTAATTTGAATAAATTAAGAAAGTTTGTTAAGTTAGTTATTTGTAATAATTAGGCATTGTTTTTTGTAAACTATCTTTGCTAATCATGTATATTAGTTATAATTACTATCTGATAAAATCTTTAACATGTGCCATAAAGACTATTTTAAAAAAATACTACCTCCTGTCCTTAATATAAGACCTCGTTTGACTTTTATTTTGGTACTAAATATAAAACCCTAATCCACTTTGTTTCTCATATTTATCTATTTTTTTAATAAAATAATCCTTCTAATAATAGTATTTCTAACCAATAAACTTGATTAGTAAGGATATTTTAAGAAAAACAAAACTTATTTATTACAAATAATTAATTTAAGTTGTTTTCTTAATTTACTCAAATTAGTCAATTAGTTCTAATATTTAGAATTGAATGAAATAGATAAATATAAGAAATAAATTAAATTAAGATTTTATATTTAGAATTAAATTAAAAATTAAATTAGTTTTTATATTAAAAATCGAAAAAAATATTTATTGGTGGTTCCATCAACTATATATATGTATATGTGCGTTTCGAATATAGTTATCTATTGAACTAGAGAATTATAGACAGTAAAACATACACTTCCAAATTTGGGCGATTTTTCTTCTAAGAAATGCAGAAGCTCCACCGCATCAAAAATCTGAAAACTCCCATTGACAAGCCACATGTCAGTGAGATGAATCAGTAATTTCAGTATCATTCTGACTTTTTTTTTTAATCTTCCCAAATTTAGCTTCCTTCTCTTCTCAGACCAAAAATGGCGTCCTTTTATCAGCCTTCTTCTCTTCCGTCTTCCTGTCCAGAGCTTTGATTCACAAATTATGGCGTTTTCTTGTTTTAATTAGAAGCTTCATTTTGCAATCACTCATCTACTGATGTAGACATTGGACGATGCACCTTCTTTCGTTCTAGTATATAATATTATAATAATACCTGATCAAAGAGCTTCGTTCTTTTCGTTTCGTCCTTATTGAGAGAGACAGTGAGACAAATATGTCCGAGAGTCTTGACTCCTTTCTGCTTTCCATTCTCTGCTTTTTTTGAAAGGTGAAACTCACGCCTCCTTTTTGACCTACTCGTACTGCTTTTTTATCTGAATCTTTTGCGAGCTTTTTCTTGTCTTTTTCGATGATAATTAATTAATCTAATGTTTTATTACTGATTTGGATTGTGCGCTTTGTTTAATCGATAACCGATGAAGATGAATCTGTTTATTGGTGCCTGGTTTGGGTTTGATTTGGAAACTGGATTTTCGAAAACTTCTTCGTTTTGGGTTCGACATCTAGGATTAAGGTTGGATTCAGGGCCATGCCTAGTGTTGCAATATTGCTGTCTTTTTTCAGTTGACTATTGCATACCGAGGTAAGATCTTATCATTGATGAGGAAGTGTTCGCCACTATCTGAATAGGCTCTGCTAACTTGAATTGTGATTTTCAATTGTCTGGTTTTGCCGGCAATCACGTTGCCGCCATGTTCTTGCGTATTTTTATGTGATAACCGTTAACCGACTTTATAACCTAGTTCATTGATAGGTAGAATTTATGGGTGTTCTTTTAGATATATTTCTGGCTGAAGATGTAGATTATTTGTTTTTAATGGAAAAAGAGGTTTTGATCACTCATGACTGGTAACGTAATTTTAGATGAGTCATCCTAGCCTCTATGGGTCATCTTGATCAATCGTGTCGAGCTCTCTACTGTTTATGTTTCCCCTTCATGACCTTGTGCGTACGGAAGGATCAGCTCGTGACTCCCAATGAGATATTGATAATGTATTAGCGAGAATTATGGAAAGCTTTTATTTGATCTGAATGCTTGGATGATGTTAATGAAGACGCAAATGTATTTTCAATCAATTAATAAGATCAGGATTTTTTTCCCTTCAAAATTATACATTTAGTTAAACGGTATTTTCCCTCACTTTCAGGAATGGAGTGTTTTGACATCTGGAAACAAAAATGTTGCAGTTCTTAGAAGGATTAAAGCAGCTACTTGTTGCTGCAGTAAATTGTTGCGGTACTGATGTGTCTAAGCAAACTACGGGTTTAGAAGATCCAGAAGCTTTAGCAAGGGAGACAGTCTGTATGTTTCTTTATAGAAGTTTTGAGTTAACATTTTAAGGCGTTTTCCTTCGTTGTTGGCCTATACATGAATTCTATGCATAATCATTTCTTCCTTTAACCAAACTTTACTTCTATATCTATTTTTCCCTTGATCTGTACAACTTGTTGCTTATCATCCGTTTCATGGTGAAGCGAATGAGATAGGGCTTTTTATTTTCCATTTTTTGGGTCTCGATTGGGTTTAAATGTCGGAAGATGAAATTAATCAGAAGAAAAAAGAATAAGGGAAGAAAAGTTGCAAAACCAGAGAACTCCGTGGGACTTTGGTGGGGGGGAAAAAATTAGGGGCGGCAAGTTCTGCATTAGGAGAAAAAAATGGAAATAGAAGTGTTTAGAATACTTAAAAAGTTCAAAATTCCTCCTTGTTAGTTTGGACTAATTGTATGATTCAGGGTAGGCGGTACCTCACACCTCAATAGTACCCTTGTAGTTTGAAAAAAATTCTTCTGTGGTGCTTCATTGTATATCTGAACGGTGCCTCATAAAGCATCCTGTTCTCATCTGGTGTGGTGGTGCTACTTTGAGGCAAGTTTAGGGTATTATGTGAGACATCAGAGCGGTAGCAAATCCTTAATACCTCAGAGGCTCTAAAGAAAAGCTTTCTTTTGCAATTTTATAAGATGGGTTAAAATAATACTTGAAGTTTATCATTTGAAGGCACATGATTAGTTCATCTTTTATATTTTCCACTGATCTATTTGTCTATCTGATGAGATTTGTTATCGTAGTCTTTTGTACTTGGACCTGTGGGCTTCAAGGGAATAAAGAAATTTATGGAATTCTGACATATTCACCTCTTCTCTCAATTTTTTTATATGAATAGAAACAGTGATATTCATCTGGTTTTTGATGCAGTTAGTGTAAGTGAGATTGAGGCACTTTATGAACTGTTCAAGAAGATTAGCAGTGCGGTGATTGATGATGGGCTGATAAATAAAGTAAGTTACGTCATGTAATTTGATGTCCCATTTGTTTTGTGATAATTTTGATGTTTGAACTTTCTGACCGATTCCTTCATTTCTATCCACTTTTATAATCTCAAGTGTCCCTTTTTATAGGTATACATGGTAATACATATTGCGTTGCTAGGTTTTCATTCTGAACCTTGTTTTTTTTTTTTTTTTAATATTTATTTTGTTTGTGTATACATTTCATTTGCAGGAAGAATTTCAGTTGGCTTTATTCAAGACAAACAAGAAAGAGAGCTTATTTGCAGATAGAGTATGTCTAGCTTTAAGATCTTTAAATTTTATTTACAACTGCTTTTGACTTATCCTCACAGAAATAGATGTTGAAAGCTTTGATGCGCTTGTATGATAATTCAACTTTTACAATGAAATAGATTAGATTTTCAACTGTGGAAATAAAATTCATTTCCAACCCTTTTGTACCTTACGGATTATAGCATTTATGTTTCTGGATGTTCTATTAAATTTTGGTATATCCTGTCCTTTCTGCTAGCTTTTTTGGGGCCCCCCTCCCGGGGGGGGGGGGGTTGAGGGAAATTTATCATCTGGGCGGCTTTTTATTGAGTTATAATCATGATTCGTGGATTTAAAGTCCTTTCTTATTGCATATCTTATGCATATTTGAGCCCTTAGAAATTTATGTCATGCTCATGATTTCGTATTGTGAAAATTTTGTAGGTATTTGACTTGTTTGACACAAAGCATAACGGAATACTTGGTTTTGAAGAGTTTGCTCGTGCTTTATCTGTCTTCCATCCCAATGCACCTATTGACGATAAGATTGAGTGTAAGAGAGACTAAGTCCTTCTATATATTAGGGAGGGAGGTAGAGTACATATGGTCTATTGCTTCTATAGCTATCTGTTTATGGCTCATGTTGGGGATTCCCAAATCTCCTTTCTTGCAGTTTCATTCCAGCTGTATGATCTCAAACAGCAAGGCTTTATTGAAAGGCAGGAGGTAATTTCTCTCTTACAGTGTTGAATAAATAATGCAGGGAAAAACATTATGTAGACTAATAACACAATGAGTTGCCTTAATAGCGACAATAGGAATCTCCCAAATAATCCAAAATATTTATTACACCCCTCTCATCTCTCTTCACCCTTCTAAATTTCAATTACTCAGAACTCAGAACCTCCAAGACTGTCACCACTTAAGTGTGTTGCCAAAACTGACGGTTACTTGATTTCCCTTAACTTCCAAAAACCACCCTCATAGTGGTGTATCTGCCCCCATCTACCTAAAGTCTACTTATCTAGTTACATTATCACCTTCTACTGCTTAAGGACTACCCAAAACGGTTACATAATTTTGGATCCATTATATTCACCCCTCCAAAACATACATTGTTGTCAGGGTGTGATTAAGGAAATGGGAATGTCATTAGTACACAGGCCTCAAAACTTTACCTTTTCCCCAAGGTGAGAATTTGAAGTTATGACTTAGGACTGTGCTCTACTTTTCACAAAAAGCCCAGTCCGTAGCTTTTAGAATCTGCACCACTACCTTCCGCTCTCCAATTTTTCCTTTTAAATTTATCATATTTTGTGGCAGTTAATTGCACAATTGAGGTCTTGAGAATTTGAGTGGTGTGATTCAAATTTTCCTACCATGATAGATCAATATGAGCGAACGTAATTTTAATTTCTTCTCTCATTGTTTCTATCCCACCTGCTACAGAGAGATCCCCTGAAAATATACTCTTCAGTCTCCCTCTTGTGTTCAGCATCGCCCAAACCGTCATTAGTCTGATGCTAAAATGATGGAAACCAGAATATGGCGCCAGGAACTGGTCAAAGCGAATAGGGAGAACATTGACTTAACGGTTACATAACCACCCTTGTATACCTAAAATCAATCTGTGACAGCTCTGTAACCAACCTCTACTGCCTAGGGATTATGGGACACAACTACATAGCTGTGGATCCATCAGAGACCTTCTTGGAATATTATTCTGTATATGGGTTAAAATTATATATGGGAACCTAAATCCACAATACATGGGAATCAAAATCAAATAAACTAATTTGAGTTTGATTCCCAAGTTTTATGGGTTTAGATTATCTAGAATCAGTTTGAACTAATTTTGTTTTCTCGGAACTTGTCTCTTTCAATATGTTTTTTTGTACCAAAATTGCTGTGAGATGCATTTATGGACAATGCTTATACCTGTAATGCGATAGGTAAAACAAATGGTAGTTGCCACTCTAGCAGAATCTGGTATGAATCTCTCGGATGACGTGATTGAAAGTATCATTGACAAGGTGCATTCTTTTACCTGATGGGCTCAACTTGCTTATCAAACATTGTCTTCATTTGTTATTTGTATATTCGGAAACTTTCAATGACGCCTGTTCTTTCTTTATGTTGGGTTTCATATTATTTCCAGCTGAAAATTTTGATTTATTTTTAATGGAAGAAGAAATTATGTTAAGAGGAGAAGTAACAATTGTTGGGGGATGAGAAATCCTCAAACCAGAATAAAGTCATAAAAGGAAAGTAACGGTTGTAGAAAAGATGTTCATTAGTTATGTTTGCTAACTTAAGCTGAAAAAGGAAACTTTCTCCATGTGACTTTATCCTCATAATTTAACTGAGGTTTCTACTTTCTAATAAGAATTCTCTACTAAATAAAATGAACCTTGTTCAGCTTCCTTTTTTTTTTTTTTTCCTTTTTTGTTTTTGTGAATTTCATTAGTTATGTTTGTTAACTTAATGAGTGTTTTTTAAGTGACCATGCTTTAGAAAATCATTCGAGTCATTGTAATATTTTCTTATCACTAACAGTTTATAAGCTATTTAGACATTTGAGGAAGCTGATACAAAACATGATGGGAAAATTGACAAGGAAGAATGGCGAAATCTTGTCTTGCGGCATCCATCCCTTTTAAAGAATATGACTCTTCAGTATCTCAAGTGAGTTTCTTTTCGTTACAGTAATTTGAATTTTGAAGTTATTCCTCCAGTGGTGGAAATGTTGTGAAGTTGATTAGGATAATCTCATAAGGCATGATTGTAATGAGAGAATAGAGATAGAAACATAAGTTTTTCCCCTTATGGACACTCTTCACACAATCAACCAACGCCAAGAACAAAGATCGGATTGCCCCTCACTAAACTAAGCCCTTTGGTCACTAATCTGCAACACTCTTGTTAAATTTTTATTGGTTCTTTGCACATCCAGTTACTACATTATATATGCCTAAATTTGTATTTTGTCATCAAGTCCTAACTTCTAATGCATGACTTTTTTTTCCCCTTAAAAAAAAAACTTGGCAGAGACATCACCACCACATTTCCCAGTTTTGTTTTCCACTCGCAGGTTGATGATACTTAAACGAAATAAGTACATCATCCTTGTAAGTTTCAGCAGCCTTAGCTGGGAATGATGTTTCACAAATGAAGGAACGAGGTTGTGAGGTACTGGGCGATACGGTGGATGGATATGGCGTTTGTTTATATTTTCATTAAGTCGAACTTCATCTTCTCTTTTTGGATAGATGAGGTTTCTCCGTTGTACAAATGGGCTGGTTTATTTATTTATTTGCTTCATTGGAAATAAAAAAAGGGGAGCAAAATAGGATATTCAGGTGTCTCACCATTACGCCGTTAGATTTGGGGGGATTTGGATATGCCCAGATCTGGAAATGGCCGCTACTGCAAATAAGGGAGAGAAAAAAAGAGGAAGATGAAGATGATGATAAAGACCGTCCTTATTTCCCCTGAAAATAACATGTCTATCAATTTTTCCTTGTCTTTTAGATGTCGTTTTTTAAGTTTTTGGGTATGAAAATATCGTTTGTGTATGTTTTGTTGTAATTATATGTTGGAATTGTTGAACAGAGAAGGCTGAATTATTTTGTAATTAGCACAAACTTTTCTAGAGCTGTAAAAAGGTGTTCCTTGTTTGAGAAGCATGTTTTATAATTTTCTTTTTGCCAACATGCTGAACGTCAGTGCAATTGTTGAAATGCTGGAGATTCTTGCGATTAACATGAGAATATTCCTCATTAATCTCATCAAACTAATCAACGATGTCCTTCCTCTTCTATTGGGTTTTTTTTTTTAAATCCAATTTTTTCCGTCCTTTTCTTTCCCTGCAAACTTGAATCTTTTGCCTGTCTCTTGGGATGTGTGTTTTGGGGATGATCTAAATTTAAATTTAAGTTTTGGCGAAAAAGACTAAAAAATTTTCTTTATTTGAGGCCTTGAATATATCTATTTTCACGGGTTTGGATTTAATGAAGAATGCTAGTTTTTCACAACAAAACGAATTAAGACTTGAATTCTTAGTAAAAGAGGTGTTTACATTTAGTGTCTAACAGTACCTTAAATAAAATTGCTTTTAGTAAGAGAATATCCATACTTCACAAAAAAAGTATTTTTTTTTCTTCTGATTATTTAATTTTATATAAAATGATTAATGTTTTGATATATTTTAAAATGCTTTAGTTTTGAACTTTCACAATTTTTCAAAGAAGTTTTTAAAAAATATATGCAATTTTACTTTATTTTATTTTAATAATTCAAAGATTCAACATGTAGAATGCGAGTTTTGTTAACCGAGTTTTCTTTGAAATAAATTGATAATTAAAGGTTATTAAAATGATAAGTTTACTTATATTATGTTTAGTACGTTGGAATAAAGAATTGAAAAAATAGAAATAAAAATGTAAGCGATATGATTAAGCCTTTGTTTGGCATGATTGAAATAAGATTGCATTACTATGTCTGAAAGAATAGAAATGTGATAGGAATGAAAAATAACATTAACAATTTATTAAATTACCCTTAATATTAAAAAGTTATAAGAAAATAAAGGTAAATTAGTCTTTTTATTTGTTCTCCCGTGTTGAACAATACCATACCATTAAAAAAAGATTGATGGAATTATTTTGAGTCAAATTTGATGGAAAAGGAATGGGAGAAACATTTCAATCCCTTCACACCAAACATGGCAACGCTCCATTTTATCACCTTTTTCCGTCCCATTCTTTTAATTCACTCATATCAAACACAACAAATGGTTCAAAAACTTAGTGTATTGTCCATATATTATTTTACATGATATATAATATATATAGTTGAGAGTAATTCATAGTTCAATTGCATATAACTTTTTAGGAACCAGGGAATCATGATTTAATACTCCCCTAACCATTTTGAAGAATTTTTATGGTAATTAATGCTGAAGTTAAGATCACGTATCATAGCAGTTCAATGTTATAGAATCTTTTGAAAAATCAAGAAATTATATATTCCAAATACTTCTTGTTTTAAAGCATATATTATTACAGAAAATCAAGAAATCATGAGCTCAAGACTTTTTTGGGCGGAGCTAAAGAATTTCTATGCCTTGGTGGGGGATGATTTCTTTTTTTTATCCTTTCATGATAGTAGTACTTTAATGCCTCGTTTGGTATCATGGAAGAGTTTTAGAAAGAAGTGGAAGTGAAATTAATTGGGGTATTATTATAATTTAATATTTGTATTTACAATGTGAAAAGACATTTAAGCCGTAAAAGTTGACTTGGAGAAGACCTATGATAGATTGGAATGGTCTTTCATAGATAATACCCTTCAAGCAGTGGGACTGGACAATAAACTTCAAAATTTGATCATGATGCGTATCTCTAGTCCCTCCTTTCAAGTTCTTTGGAATGGGGAACCTTCAAAAGCAGTTTATACCTACCAGGGGTATCTGACAGGGGGATCCGATTTCCCCCTATGTGTTTACTTTATGCATGGAGAGACTCAACCATATTATTGAGGATGTAACTGATGAGGGGCTATGGGAACCAATTAGGTTTGGTCAATAAGGCCCCACTCTATCTCACTTATCTTTGTAGATGACCTAATCCTCTTTGGGGAAGCCTTGACTTGGCAAGTGGACGTGATGATGGATTGCACAAACAAATTCTGTGAAGTCTTATGTCAAAATGTGAATAGGGCAAAAACCAAGATCTGCTTCTCAAATAATGTTCACTTCTCTAGGGTAGCGGAGATGAGCCAACGACTGGGAGTAGATTTGACAGGTGTTTTGGGTACATATATGGGGGTGCTATTGATCTATAAAAGAGCATCTTATGTTATGTTTGCCCCCATTCTTGAACAAACCAATAGGAAACTTACTAGTTGGAAACGAAATTGCCTAAGCATGGCTAGAAGAGCTACATTGATCAAGGCAGTACTATCTGCTCTACCCTCTTATCAGATGCAGACCTCACTAATCCCGAAGCGCCTCATTAATGAGTTAGAGAAGATTAGCAGAAGCTTTCTATGGGGTGAAAATGAAGGGTCTAAAAAACTTCATTTACTCTCTTGGCAGACGATTACAACTGATAAAATGCGGGGAGGCTTGGGTATCAAGAACTTGGAAAAACAAAATGAAGCCTTTATGATGAAACTTTGTTGGAAATTGGTCTGTGACAAAGAAGCCTTGTGGGTCAAGTAATTAAAGCAAAATATGATACAAGGGATGCCCAAAGATTGCATATCAGTAAAAAGTCAAATGAATCCCTCACGTGGAAAGGTATTAGAGGGGTTTAGAAGAACTTCACAAAAGGGCTTGGGAGAAAGATTAGTAATGGTAAATCTACATATTTCTGGTTTGATATCTTATCAGATGTAAATCATCCCTTAATTGAGCTAATTCCGGGATTTGAACACTTGGCGAATCCTTCAGAAATGGTGCTTGATTATGTTGACAAATGGGGCTAATGGAGTGGGAATAAGTTAGCAGCAGTCCTTCCCCTGAAGTATGTTGATCGTATTGTGTGCACACACCCATCTTGTGAGGAGAGAGGAGAGGATTATTACTTTTGGGGACCGTCCACAGATAGTCGCTTTTTAGTTAATTCTGCTTATAAATTTCTTCATACAGGTACACAACAGCAAGCTTACAATATTTGGAGAAAGATTTGGCATTTGCAGGTACCAGAAAAGACTAAATCGTTCCTATGGATATTCACACATGGCAGAGCTCACACAACAAGCCTTCGACAACGGAGGGGGCTCGAGGTAACATCAAATTGCCCCTTTGACTGTGAAGAGATAGAGATTGATATGCACTTGATCGTTGACTGTGCAAATGCTATCCAGTACTAGCAATTAATGGCAGATCCCACTCTTTGGTTTCAGTTTACTTCCCTCCAAGGAGTAGACTGGATCAAATGGAACCTTGGCAAATAAGCAGGAAAAGACTTTACGAAGAAGCTTAGCTGGCCGACCCTATTCGGGTATATTTGCTGGGACACTTGGGTGGCAAGAAGTAACCAACTGTTCAATCATAGTGTTACGACTAAGGAGACTAATGCCCTACCAAGTTTCTTCAAAGCATACTGGGACCAAGACATGGTAACCAACTGTTCCTTCTACAATATAGAGAACAAGGCAAGACAGGTTTACCAAAGCATACAAGGAGAGTATGCTATCATGGAGGTAGACGATTCAATTATGCAGGAAGGACGCAGTGGCTGTGGAGGAGTTATACGAAGCAATGAAGGAGCTTGGATATATGGTTTTAGTTGTAAAATCAATTTCGCTCCCTCAACTATCACAGAAGTCTTAGTCATGTTTCAAGGCCTAAAGCTTTGTTGGTCAAGAGGATTTAGAAGCGTCATTCTCTACTCTGATTGTACTGAAGCTCTTAATCTCATTTTGAGAGGCTGTTCTTAGGATCACCCTTCCAAGACATTATTGAGGACACTAGGATACTCTTTAATTACAACTGGGGGGTCTTACCTACGTTTTCTCCTAGAGAAGAAATTCCTTTAGTTGATCTTTTAGCTAAATTGTCTCATACTCTAGACAATCTTTTTTGTATTTTTTATCACCCTCCACCTTTTTGAAAGGGGACGAAGGGGTTGAGCTACTTTGTTTCTAACTCCTTTTGTATTTTTTTTTAGTTTTAATTCAAAAAAATCCCTAACTACCCAAAAGACCTCAACCCACAGCCACCAACTAGTGACCATGGGAACACTGACATAGGGGAGAAGGAAATAAACAAAAGCACGATGAGATCATCATTGGCAAAATATGAAATTGAAGAGTTTGGTGAACAAAAAGCAAAATCAGCAAAACAGGATAACCTCTCTTACCCACAATCATTATCACTTGCCATCTTCCCTTCCATCATCGATCTAAAGAGGAAGAAGAAGAAGATACAAGATTCGTCGTCCTCCATCACAGATAAAGTCGAAGTGTCACTTGCCGTCCACCTTTACCATTACAGATCTGAAGAAAGAGAAAGAAAAGACAAAGAAGGTCTGATACCCTCTATTGCAGATTTGAAGTCAAAGCTCTGTCCGCCGTCCTTCGTCACCTTTATTGTCATCCTCTTTTATTGCACCACCGTCCTCTTTCTCTCACTACCATCCTTGGTTTTATCATAGAGGAGGGGTGATGGGTAAGTCTGAAGATGTGGTTCCATAGAACTGGAACTCGATTCCTTGAGGGAGCCTATGGAATCGAGTTCTATCATTTTTCATGGAACGAAGAGTTCAAGGAATTGTCTTCAAGCGCTCCAAACACACATATTTTGAGTTCTACTTCCACTTCCACTTCCTTCCTCCCCAATTCCATGCTACCAAACAGGGCATAATAGATATTATTGGTCCTTACATGTAAATAAGGTGTGGCCAGGGTACTTAAGTGACACTCCCTTTTTGTTATTTAATCATTTTTAATCAATCTAAAATATTAAATCAAAATCAAAGCCAAGCTGAGTTGTTTTCATCTTCATATTGGCTCTTCACTTAAAATACTGTGCTATGAACAATATCAGCTTATGAACAGTGCTAGCTGCTTGCATGTGGCTTCGTGCACTCATTTTGTTTTGTTATTTTTTTTAAGAAAAAAATTTTGTGCTCAGTGTTTCAAATTTCAAAATTCCCCCGCCCTCCAGCCTTCTTCATCTTTTCTTCACT